GAGAGAGAGAGAGAGAGAGAGAGAGAGAGAGAGAGAGAGACAGAGAGAGGCATTGTTGTTTTGTGCTGTCGAGTCACCTGGGAATCATAGCAACACTATGTACAATAGCTCTGAACCCTGCCCTATTCTGAGCAAATTTCACAGTCTCCAACACAACTAACTCCATTACCCCAGTTACTGAGTCAATCCATCTCATCCACTGTCTTCCTCTCTTGTGCTGTCCTTCCACCGTTCCAAGTATGATGTTCTCCAAGGACTGGTCCCTCTGGGCAACATGCCCAAAGTATATGAGATGGAGCTTCAAAATCTTTGCCTTCAAGGCGTAGCTAGTTTTCATCCTCTCCAAGACAGACATATTTGCTCTCCAGGTGGTCCACCATATGTCAATCCTCTTCTTCAGAACCATAACTCAGAGGCATTGATTCTTTTTCTATCATCTTTAGTCATTGTCCAGCTCTCTGATGCATGGCAAGTAATTCTGAAGATACTTGGATAAGGCACACACCTTAGTCTCCAGACTGACATGTTGCTTTTCAATACTTTAGGGAGGTCCCTGACAGCAGAGTTTCCCAATGCAATGTGCCTTTTGACTTCCTGACTGCTAGTGCCAAGAATGTTGATTGTGGAACCAAGCAAGCTTAAATTGTTAATCTCAATCTCCTCTGTCTCTGTCTATCACAATGCTGCCAAATAACCCAATGGGGAGAATCTTCATTTTCTTGATTATGAGTTTCAATATATCTTGAAGGCTCCAGTCCTAGACCTTCTGCAGCGAATTCCTCACTTCCTCCTCAGTTTCAGCAAGCAAGATTATGTCATTTGCATAATGCAGGATGTTAATGATTCTTCCTCCAATCATGATGCCATATTCCTCCTCATAGAGTTCAGCCTTCTAGAATGCTTCCCTGGCATACATCTTTCCTAATTTTGAACCATGCAGTGTTTCCCTGCTCTGTTCTGACAACTAACTCCTGGTTCAAGTATAAATTTCACCTGAGCACAATTAAAGGAGGAAGTTCACACTGCTCTGAAGGAATTGGCAAAAAAAAAACCCAAAAAACCAAACCCCAAGACCTCAGGAATTGATGGAATATCAATTGACATATTTCAACAAACAGATGTTGCCCTGGATACACTCACCAGATTGTGCCAAGAAATCTGGAGGGCAACTACCTAGCCAACTGACTGGAAGAGAAAGTAAAAAGCACTGTTGAAAGGCATTAAAGAAGACTGAAGTAAGTGGAAAGATTTCCACGTCCATGGATTCAAAACAGTCTGTTCATTGCTATTGAGTTGGAATCAATTCCTATGTGACTCTGCATTGAGTTTCCAAGGTCATAAACCAGATGGGATGGCATTGCCCCACTTTCTCCCATGGAGATGCTAGTGGATTCAAACCTCAGGTGAGGTGCAGCCTTTGAGGCAGCAGCATGACTTGCTATGAACTATAACACCAGAGCTCTCTTGCTCATGGCTTAGAAGATATAATATCGTTAAGATATCAATACTACCCAAAGTGATCTATAGATACAACACAATTGATATCAAAATCCCAACAGCTTTCTTTACATAAATAGAAAAACCAATTCTTCTAAATTTTATGTGTATTACAGATAACTAAAACGATATTGGAGACAAGAACAGGAAGGCTCAAATGTCCAAGTTTCCTTGTTTAGTCTTTATTACTAACCCAAAAGTGTTTGACTCTACCAGCAGCTCCATGAGAGAAAGATAGGCAGTCTCCTCTGATAGCGACTTGTAACCTTGGAAACCTGTAATGGAGGACCGCTGACCCCAAGGTAGTGAGTGAGTGAATGAATGACTAGATAGTACCAAAACAGTGTGGTACTGGCATTAACAACAGACTCCTAGACCAAGGGGATAG